AGTTTGTAGGTGTTCAGAATGGTTTGATCCCTATCCAGCTGAATTCCTGAGAGGAGACGAAATCCAGGTCTCCTACTCCTCCGCCATCTTGCTCCGCCCCTTGCCTAACTTTTTTTTAAAGATTTTATTTATTTGAGAGAAGGAGAGCACCAGCGGGGGCAGGGGCAGAGGGAGAGGGAGAAGCAGACTCCCCTCTGAGCAGGGAGCCCCACTCAGGACTCGATCCCAGGATTCTGGGATCATGACCTGAGCCGAAGGCAGGTGCTTAACCGACTGAGCTACCCAGGTGCCCTTTGCCTAACTTTTTATATCATAATTCAAGTAGACAGCACAAAATAGAGAACTTAATTGATGTTCAAGGTGATAACTCTTTTTCCACAAAATAAATATCTTTGGGAAATTGGGGTTGAAATCCTGAACAGAGAATACAAGGTGAATATGAATGGTGATCCAGTTTTTAAAGATAAGCCTAATAAAATATAACTTACTTCATCAAAATCCCCAGAGATAGCTAGTTTATTAGGTCTTGATGTAGTGGCAGACCTTGGAAAAGCATTTATAGGTTACTGGAGATGTGGTAATCCCAAAGTGGGTAAGTGACAACACTTCATCCATTTGTAGATAGTAAAAATAATTCACCAACAAACTAGTGGAGTATTCTCAGAAGACCTCTTTTGGACCAATAGTATTTCTTAGCATTCATGTTTTGCACTGATGGTTTCCAAATCTGAAAATTATTATTCAGTGGTTTGAGATGGTACCCTGGAATCTAACTTTTTCACAAAGCTCTCCAGCAGATTTTAATACAATTACTATGCAATGTGGATATCTTAAAAAACAAGACCTGTATTTTCAGTTTGGTGGACAGAAACATAAAGGGGCAGAACGTAAATATATTTCCACTCCTATAGTATATATGTCGCGGTTAAGTAACTCATGGGATCTGGGGCTACTACTCATAGACCATATCAACTTTTTGAAGACTGGATCATCTGGGCATGATTTCAAATAGGGAAGTATACTATGGACTCAATAATAAAATGGGAGATAAGAGGGAAAACAAAGCTAAGCATCAAAGCAGGATCCTGACATGATTTTATTCCAGTGGTTTAAATATGTTCCCATCCTACCTCTTATTCATTTTGTGCCCCCTTTATTAATGAGGAAATAGCAAAGACTGAATAAGGATGTAGTTTAATTTGTCTAAATTGGGACAGTGTGAATTAACTTTGACCCAGAGAAAAAGCTGAGCTGGGAACCTTGAGGTTTATAACACGAAACAAATCCTGATTCATTTCTGATGCATTCCCACCAAAAATAACCTGAGATTACCCAAGAGGTTATTTTTCTATGAAACATTGCAACTATGCTCAAGGCAAAATTACAAGATATAATTTATTTTCAGCAGTCTTCAAAAACTTTCTCACCCCCTGCCCCTAATTACTAATACAAGAAATATGTGAAAGCTACACAACCTGTAACAGTCCACCAATTTAAGTGTTTAGTATGTGAAAGCCATTTGTGGTGTTACAGGACTTTTGTCCCTTGGTGCCTGGGTTCTTGGTCACGCTGCTTCAAAGAATGAAGAGGTAGACCAGAGGAAGAGTGGTGGGCAGCAAAGCAAAGTTTATTGAGCAATAGTATAAAGCTCCCCAAGAGGGAGGGGGGCCTGAGGGAGTTGCCTTCAGAGTTTCTAAGTTTAGGGGTTTTTATGAGCTCTTTTGCAGAACTTTCTTAAGCAATCAGGGTGTGCTGAGTAGTGCCAATCAGGGCTTTCGTCACGTATCTGTCTACCTGTTAGGTTAGTATCTCGCACTGATGGTCTTTTTTTTTTTTTTCTGACATCTGGGGGCTGAGGTCTTAACTGCCCCTTGGCCGTGATACTGACAAATGCTTTGTGGTTAATTGTCTTACTTTAGGATGTTTTGCAGAAGTCATTTCTGCAAAGGCTGCAAAGCAAAATGTTAGTGCCATCCTGTCCAAACTGCAAAACAGGATGTCAGTGCTGTTTTATTTTAGCTGTCCGGACTCCATATTTTCTTCTTGGGGACCCTGGCCCTGACTACCTACTTGTCCAACTAACTCCTAACAGTGGGACTACAAATATAAGTGATACAAACTGCCAATGCTTATTATTTAGTAATAAAAATAAAATACTGTGACAGAGATATTAACAAGAACAATCAAACTTGCAGGCACAGAAAAGGCTTATCTAAAACACCCCAAATCCTAAAATAATTGCTTTCCCCAACTCCTATGCAGTACTGCAATCTGGTTATCAGGGTGCGCTATGATTGCCGATTTAACTAAATCCCCTTTGAGAGTATCCACATTCTGAAAGAGTTCTTTTTTAACCTAAAAAACCCTCTAATTAGGAAGTTCATTCAGCAGTGAAGGACCTCTCGGACCTTCAGGTTTTAATCTGAAAGTCTTAATCTTAGCTTCCATAACCAACGCTCTCCTTCCACCCTCCAAATCTGATGAAATCAAATGCCTTGGAATCACAGGTTTCCATTCAGATCGCATGAGAGAAAAACTGGGGGGAAATGTGCAAATTTTCAGGGCTTGGGGATTGCAAACGTGGGGGAGCGACGCCATCTCCTGGTAAGGGATGGGAACGAGCAAGAAAAAAGCCAAATGCAACTTGAGGGCTAAGCAGCTGCAGCTTTCGTTTCAAAGAGTCAAGCCGCCAATCTCCGGCGCCCGTGGACTCAGAGAACCGCCCCTCCTGGTGGCTCTGACCACTCCAGTGAGCCCTGCGCAACGTGATTGACAGGCCAACAGCCCGGTCCGTTACCTAAACTCGTCACTCCGGAAACAGTGACCGGATCCTTCCGGAAGCTCAGGGTCCGCGCTCTCCCAGCATCCTTTGCTTTCCGGCTATGCTCAGTCCTGTCCGGCCAGTCCCGCCTTGCGCGCCCATTTCGAGCCCGAGTTTCCAGCTCGTCTTTGCAGGCTCGAGAACCCGGAACAGATTTTCCAGGACTCGGTTCTTGGGCTGTGGCTATGGGGGCAGGAATGGCGCAGCTCGAGGGTTACTACTTTTCCGCTGCCCTCAGCTGCACCTTTTTGGTGTCCTGTCTCCTCTTCTCCGCCTTCAGCCGGGCGCTGCGAGAGCCCTACATGGACGAGATCTTCCACCTGCCGCAGGCGCAGCGCTACTGTGAGGGCCATTTCTCCCTCTCGCAGGTGGGGTCCCCACCCTAGGACAGGCCGGAGAGGGCCAGCCCACCCCCCGCACTACTTTCTTCTACCCTTATCCCTTTGGTCCCACCGATCTACCCTTCCAGCTTCGAAATAGGAACTGGGTAATCTCTTGTTCCTGTCCCTGAGATCTGAAGTATTTGTTTAATGAATGAATAGAAGCAATCTATGTCCTAGGAAGTAATGTTCTGGGAGATTAATGTATTTGCTTTACCGCAGGGTACAACCCAGACACACGATACGTTTCCCTCTTAGTAGCTGATAATAACTCTCCCAGGTTTTCTTCCCCAATCCCTAGATCAGAGGCAATGGGCTGCCCCTTGGAAATGTCAGAAAACTTCACTTTAGTTCACTTGTCAAGAGCTTCACTGTGGGGTACCGTGGGGAATACCGTGGGGAATGGGGGGAATTTTCAGCCACCAAGAAATGGCAAGTTCCATTAATTCCATCCTTGGTGTTTATAGAACCTTTTGTTAACTGGATAAACTGGCACCCAGTGAAGTGGCATCATGTTTGAATATATGATTGGCTATGTAAATATAGAGTTAAAAAAGTAGATGTATTATCCTTACTCTTCTGGGAAAGCAATATAGAATAGTGGTTAAAAATAAAAGTCTGTAGTTAAAGACCTGATTTTAAATCTTTGTGCTGTTATTTACTAGTTACCTGACTTTGGACATTTTTTGAGTTTCAGGTTACTCATCTGACAATGACAGTTATAGCAGGATCTACTATAGGACATTTTGCAGGATTAAATACAGAGGATTTAGCACAATTCTTGGCTCAGTACATGTTAGCTATCATAGAGCATGTGGTTTGATCTCTTTAAATGCTTCTTTCTCTCCAAAATTGATGCATCAGAGTTCCAGCCAATGCTTCCACACTTTAAAACTGGAACATTTGGAATTTAATCACCAAAATACTCTTCAGAGTCTCTGAGGGTAGGTCTTGGAGATGGAAACTGATACCAAGTTAGTGTTGTCTCCTGGTTACAGATACCTCTGCACAAAACAGGTACAGAGGCAAAATATAAGCAAAACTTTTCTTTCCAGGAGACATTTCATCTGCTGAGGACTTATTTAACCAGCGTGTCACAGAATAACTTCCCAGATGTGTTTTTGAGCTTGACCTCCTTGTGTCGGTCCTGTCAGTATTTCATCTTGCTCTTGTTTCATTGTTGGCCTTTTCTTTTTAAGTGGGATCCAATGATTACTACATTACCGGGCTTATACCTGCTGTCAGTTGGAGTGGTCAAACCTGCCAGTTGGATCTTTGGATGGTCGGAACATGTTGTCTGCTCCATCGGAATGCTCAGATTTGTTAATCTTCTTTTCAGTGTAGGCAACTTCTATTTACTCTATTTGCTTTTCCGCAAGGTACAACCCAGGCACAAGGTATGTTTCCAAAATAATTTATTACAAATTTATATTTGGTCAGGTCCACAATTTTGGTAAATTGGTTTTATGAGATCGGGTGAAAAGTATCTTCAACTCTTAGTGTGTGTGTATATTTTGTTAAGATAAAAAGCAAGCCCCCTACCCCCATTTTAGAATAAATTTATATTTAAATACTTGAATAACTTATTTGTGAAACCTAAAGTAAATATTTGTGAATCAGATGAGTTCAGTAAATGTTTTTTGTGCTTATTATGTGTGCTAGGCACTAAGACCACAGAAATAAGTAAGGCATTTTTTTTCTTACCAAATTTTTATCTTCACTAGGGAAGACAGAGGAATACCTGTATTTACCTCAGGAATTTTGAGGTGGATTGCCTGGCTTTGAATTCTGTCCACTTACAGGTTGTGTTACTTTTAGCTGGTTACCCTTAGTGACTCCATGTCTTCATCCATTAAATGGGAATAATACAGAATCTGCATCACAGGACTGTAAGGTCTACAGGAGCTTAATAAATGGAAGGTGCTTAGAACAAAGCCCGATAGAATAGTAAGGACTCAATAAATAGTAATTATAGTAATTATTTTTAACTTAAATGATTTCAATAGTGTAAATTGTGAGAGGGAGATAGGTAAAAGATGCTATGAGGACACAGGAGGAGTAGAGGAGCACTTATTTTGCAGCCTGACTAGCAGGAAGATGTATGGGTGGCATTGGGTAAGACTTCACAGAAAAGGTGGTACCTGAGCTGAATCTTGATGAACAGACAGGACTGTAGGATGGGGAATGAATCCTGACAGGAGAAAAAACATAAACAAAGGTAGAAAGGAGTTGAGCAACAAGATGCAGAGAGAATTGCTATTTGGAATCACAAGATTATAAAGTATAAGGTTGTGAGGCTGGACAAGTAGATAGGCGTGAAGTCATGAATGTCCTTATATGTGATGGAAAGGATTTGAACTTTGGCCTTGAATTTTAACCAAGAGAATGGCATGGTCTGATTTGGTGATTTAAATACTGTGGAGGATAAAAATTTCAGGACATAAGAATGCTTTCAAAATGGGAAATAGTCTGTGAGAAATGCCAAAATAAGATATTTAACTTTAGACTGGGCCCACTATTTTCAGGAAAAACCTTGTAAGTTCATCATGAAACAGTAAGATCATTGGCTATAGTAGTATAGATGCTATATACATATTTATATTCTCTCTAAAGTAGACCTTTGAAGGGGTATCTTTAAAAGAAATTGATAAGAAATTGATGATGATGGCTAAATGAATGCTCATTGGCGGCCCTAAGACTTAAGTTCAGGGAAATGAAACCATGTGCTCTATGTCCCATTCATCAGTATGTTCCTTACAGAATTTAGTTCAGTGTCTTCCACACAATAACTCCTTAACTATTTGCTGAATGACTCAAAGTATTTCAGGACATAGAAGCTTTGGCATACACATGTATTGTCTTCATGGCTTCCAAACCTATTGATACAACTAAAAGGTACCAGAAAGCATCCTTACAGTTGTATATTGTGTTTCTGTAAAACTAGAAATAGGATTAATATTGAATAATTTTACTTAAGATTCAGATAGTTTTTTTTTAATTAATCTCTTTGTTAGCTCAGTAGAAATGGCATATTTGTTTTATCGTGAAAATAATTTCACATGTGTTTTCTCTTCCCCTCAGGCTGCCTCAGGTGTCCAGAGAATCTTGTCAACGTTAACATTAGCAGTATTTCCCACACTCTATTTTTTTAACTTCCTTTATTATACAGAAGCAGGATCCATGTTTTTTACTCTTTTTGCCTATTTGATGTGTCTTTATGGAAATCATAAAACTTCAGCTTTGCTTGGATTTTGTGGCTTCATGTTTCGTCAAACTAATATCATCTGGGCTGTCTTCTGCGCAGGAAACGTCATTGCACAAAAATTAACTGAAGCTTGGAAAACAGAGCTACAAAAGAAAAAGGAAGAGCGGCTTCCCCCTATTAAAGGACCATTTTCTGAATTCAGGAAAATTTTTCAGTTTCTTTTGGCTTATTCCATGTCCTTTAAGAATTTGAGTATGCTTTTCCTTTTGACTTGGCCCTACCTCCTTCTAATGTTTCTGTTTTGTGTTTTTGTAGTTGTTAATGGTGGGATTGTTATTGGCGATCGAAGTAGTCATGAAGCCTGTCTACATTTTCCTCAGCTCTTCTACTTTTTCTCTTTTACTCTCTTTTTTTCGTTTCCTCACCTACTGTCTCCTAGCAAAATTAGGGCTTTTCTTTGCTTAGTTTGGAAACGTAGAATTCAGTTTTTTATGATTACCTTAGTCTCTCTGTTTTTAGTTTGGAAATTCACTTATGCTCATAAATACTTGCTCGCAGATAATAGACATTATACATTCTATGTATGGAAAAGAGTTTTTCAAAGATACGAAATTGTGAAATACTTGTTAGTTCCAATATATATATTTGCTGGTTGGAGTATAGCTGACTCATTGAAATCAAAGTCAGTTTTCTGGAATTTAATGTTTTTCATATGCTTGTTTACTGTTACAGTACCTCAGAAACTGCTAGAATTTCGTTACTTCATTTTACCTTATGTTATTTATAGGCTTAACATACCTCTGCCACCTGTATCTAGGCTTGTTTGTGAACTGGGTTGCTATGCAGTTGTTAATTTCCTAACTTTTTATGTCTTCCTGAACAAGACTTTTCAGTGGCCAAATAGTCAGGACATTCAGAGGTTTATGTGGTAACATCAGAGATATCTTGAATTCTAAAAATTGACTGTTTAGACTATCTCCACAGTGAACAACTGAACAGGTAAAAATTATGGACTTTCTTTTGGGCACAGTGGTGATCCACAGATCACATCAGATTTTTTGTGTTTTAAACATCAGATATATGTGTTTTAAACATATACAATAAATCCAAGGAAGTGGTAAAGAACTGAGAAGTGTTTAAGACTTGCTCCGTAAGCCTGAATAATGGAAAATGAAATTGTTTACGGTTATTTCATGATACCTCTTTGGTACTGCTGGCCACTCAAAAAGTTTGAAAACATTTTACAGGTACAAGTTTGAGAAAACTGAGCTTTATAGTACTGAAACTTATTTATTTTTATCAATTTTCTTCAGAAAGCAATAGCAGACAAAGTGTTTGAAAAAATTTACAAATGATCAGGTAATATCCTTGATTGAAAAGTTAACAGTACATTTCAGTAAGTTACAGAAAACATTTTCTGTATGAAAAATTACAGAAAACATTTCAGTAAATATAATTTTAATCATAAGGCAAAATAGACTCAGATAATAAATCTTATAAATTAGAGGCTCATCTAGGTTGATCTTGTAATTAAGTTGATTTTTGTTAAAAGTCTAAAAATGATCAAGCCCTTCACTAATTTTTATTTTTATTTTATTTTATTTTTTTTTTTTTGAGAGAAAGAATGCACACATGAGCGGCTGGAGGAGGGGCGTGGGGAGGGGAGGCCAGAAAGAGAGGGAGAGAGAGAATCTTAAGCAGACTCCATGCCCAGTGCAGAGCTCAATGCAGGGCTCAGTCTCGCAACCCTGAGATCATGACCTGAACTGAAATCAAGAATTGGGCACTTAACCCACTGAGCCTCCCAAGCACCCCACTAATTCTTTTTTTTAAATATTTATTTAAGTAATCTCTATACCCAATGTGAGGCTCGAACTCATGAACCCAATATCAAGAGTGGCACACTCTATTGACTGAGCCAGCCAAGTGCCCCCCTTTCACTAATTCTTAGTATGAAATGTATGATGGCCAAAGATAAATTGTGTTGATGATAATACCTTTTAAAAGGGATTTTCTTTCTGAAATACATTACTGTATAGTTTCTTATGGCTGTTGTAACAGATAACAACAGACTTGGTAGCTTAAAAAAATGTCTCCCATGGCTCTCGAGGCTGGAAGTCTAAAATTAAGGTGGTGGCGGGGCTGGTTACTTCTGGAGGTTCTGAGGGAGAATCTAGCTTCTGGTGGCTGTCTGCAGTTCTTGCTGTTCCTTGGTTTACACATGCAGCACTCCAATCTCTGCCTCTGTCTTCACGTGGTCTTCTTTCTCTTATAAGGACAACGTCATTGGGTTAGGTTTTACCCTAATCCAGGATGGTCTCATGTCGAGATCTTTAATTAAATCTACAAAGACCCTTTTACCAAATAAGGGCACATTTACAGGTTCTGAGTAAACTTTTTTGTGGGATACTTTTCACCCACTGAAGTTACCAAAGGATATTTTAGGATAAACCTCATAAAATTTGTAGGAAATAATTTCTTTGCTGAGATATTTTAAATTATGTCTTTACTGAAAGGTAATTCTGAGATAACATAATTACAAAAGAAAGGGTAATTGGTATTTGATTCCATTATCCAAAATAGTTAGAATTGAAAGGAATCATTGATCTAGTCTTATTTTGTAGATTAGGGAGCAGCTGATTGGATAGGATTTTTTGTGTGAGTCTCTGGATTCTGTGTCTACTGTTTCATGTACATTCATTGGGTTGTCATTCTGTTAACAGAAAAGTATTATTTGGACATGTTAACTTTGACATGCAAACTTAGAACTGTGAATACAATTTATCTTTTAATCTCACTTTACATTTGTAAACTTAAAAATAACTGTAAACAAATAACTTTGTCTTCAGTGTTAGATTGTGCTTTCTCTAGGTTTTAAACAGTGGGTAGATGTGGAAAGTATTCTTCATTTGCAAATATAAAATTGTGCAGGTGAAAATTACAGGTATAGTCTTGAGTAGTAAGTACAGGGCAGTCTTGTACTCTGTTCAGTACTTAGAAAGTAGATTGACTCTCTAGTTGTAACAGTGATTGTTGACAGATGTTTTTACTCATTTTGTTTTTTGGTAATTAGATAAGAAAACACAAAGAAATTATTTTATAATGGAGATCTGAGTTCCGGGATGTCAAAATAACTTTCTTATCTGTTATTATTAATGCAAGGCTTTTGTGATTAGGAATATTTCTGAGACGCACAAACTTTCCCTCTAATCCATTCTGGCAAACGTGAGGAAACCATTCCACTCCATAGATTGGGGGAATCACTGTTCCAGTTCATTTGTAAGTGTTGAATTCCTGCTATTTTAAGAGATTGTTTGGAGGAAATCCACACCCAGAGGGAAACAGGTTAACCTTCCATGTTTTCCATAAAATATATAAAATATAGTACTTAACATTTCAGAAAAGAATACTGTGAATTAAAAGGTGCTGTGGAGCGTAGCTTTTAGAAACATCCTAAGTTGCATTTGCGTTTTGAATATTTTTCAAGAATTATCAAATACGTATTTTTGACATGAATTTTTAAAAAAATTAAACGTAATTGAATTTCTTGATTAAAAGATTATTTAAAAAAAAATTATCGGTAAGTTGAAGAGCCTGTGGAGCCTTGCAATTACTGTTAAAGTCTTTAAGTAGAATTATTTTAAAGAATGTCCTAAAAAGATTTAGTCCATACATTTTTAAGCCTTGTAATAAATCCGTTTGAACTTTTTCTACCTTACATGAAATTCCATAGATAAAAAGTATTTCCTTTATATGACGTTAGTAAGCTTGCAGTGTGCTGTGTGTTTCCTCACATATTATTAATGTTTTCTTTTAGTGGATATACCTAGAAACTTTTTTAATGTATCTAACTATGTTTTTAAATTATGTGAGCTGTCTGGCCTCTTCCTCCTCCTCTTAAAGTTATTTCTGGAACGTGCTTAGTCTATCATGAAGTACATTAATATAAGTAGCTTTAATGCAGTTTATTTCTAATAGGTAAATAGCTTAATGTAGTATATTTCTAGTTCGAATTTAACTGCCACTGTGCTTGACATTTTTTTTTTTTTTTGATAATTGTCTGAAGACAAGTGAGGAGAAGAAAAGACATCCTCATTTTTATTATACTTCCTAAATAGTGGACATTTATTTTAGATAAGCATTTAAGTAAAATGTTGATATGAAAAATAATTCACGTTGATTAGGTTAGAGAGCATTTATTATCTTTGAGGCAATTAGAATTTCCTTAAGGGAAACAAGAAAGAAGTATCATGCAAATAATGAGAAAGCTTTTTCGAATGGAAATTTAAATATGACTTAGGAACCATGGGCTTGTAGAAAAAGCACCTAACATGAAAGTTAGGATTTCTGTATTTGTGGCTTTAGATTCAGTAAAGCAAGTGATTTAATCTTTTGTCCTCATTTCAAATGAGAACAGATTTGTCCTGACTCTGGTTATTCTAGCCTGACATGTGTCTAGCCTTATTTCAAAAATAATTCAGCCCCCGCCATATATCCATAAAGTTCATAAATATATAGTAAATGTCAAATAAATGTGTACTGAATGAAGTTTTTAGTATAGAATGAAGTGAACGTCTTAGAAAAAACATACTATATAACCATAAGCTAATTTTAGGAAATAAATCACATGCTTCATAATGAAAGCCATCCTAAACTTTTTCTGCTTAAATTTTCTGACCTAGTTTTAAATTTTTTTATTTACTGTAGTGTTTAAAACTTACACATGTATCTACTTGTAAATATGTTATATGTTGTTATTTATAATAGGATGTGATTTCAAAATTTTTGCTGTTTATTTAAAATAAGAAAAGTAACTTTCAACCATTAAAATATAATAGCAGTAAAACTTCTGATGCTTATTAAACTTTTAAGGGAACAGAGATTTCAACCAGTTATGAATAATTTGTGTTATTTTAGTTAGGCTGCATTTTAGTACTTTAGGGATAACTGTCATTTTTTATTTAGGGTACTTTTTTATGTATTTAAATGTGGACAATATGACAAACATTTCCAATATATTAAAACTTGTATAGCTGAGAAAATTATAATAAAAATGGATAGATGATATATTTTTTAACACTTACCCATGAATCTAACACTAAATTCTTTAACATTTGGAAATTAGGGTAAGAAGTGTTGCCACAGTGAAGAAATCCAATGATACTGTATTTTGCTTGTTAAAAATTGGGCATTTGATGAATTTAATGTTAATTAAATTTGAGCCCAGTGCATCACCATCAGACAAAAAGAGATTCGGTATTTTTCCGAGGAGATAAATATTAAGTGTTGTATTGAATTTTTTCACACTGACTGGAACTTTACCATGATTCAGTTCAGTTGAACCATTGGGGTTGGGGGGACATACAAAATGAGGAAGTAAGGGAAGAAAACTAATGATAACTAATAATTGCTATAATTTATTGAGCACCTACAGTGTTCTAGGCATTATACTGGCTGATTTATAAAACATTGTCTCATTTGATCCTACTCATATTTTGATGAAGCAGATACTGATTTCTCTTTGACTACTGGAGAAACTAAAGTTAAGGCAGATCAGGCAAGTAGCCCAAAGTCCGCGCTGTCACTTAAGAACATAGACTGGCCTGACTCCCAAGCCTGTGAGTTTTCAACTGAGACTGCCTCAGTGAGAAAATTTTTCATTAAGAGAAGTAAAATATGGAGAGAGAGGTGGTAATCTGTCTTTACTCTGCATTAATCAGAATATTCATGACCTATTGTTTATTGTATGTAGTCATTTTTTAAAATGCTAGCAACTATTTAAAGGAGCACAAACAGATAGTTGTAAGAGAAAGGGCTTTTAAAAGAATATATAGGATGTTTAACTTGGAGAAGTAGGGATCCTACAACTTGATAAGCTCTCATAATTGAAGAATAATTATTTGGAAGAAGGATTGGACTAGTCTTTATTCTCTGAAGTTTATATCAAGGGCCAACAGATTTCAACAGATAAAAATTCTCTAATTGTTAGTCTCTCTGTCTGGGAATGGATCCAGAAAAAAAGTAAGTTTCCCCACTCATTGGCAAGATTTCTGTTTATCAGGAATGATTCAGAAGAGATTCAGATAGTAAGTAGAGTAAAATGTTTTAAGATGCCTCACAATCCGGTGATTTGAAATTCATTAAGTTTGTTACAACTAATATTTTTTGCATTAATTGGTAAGTCATGGGGAAGTATTTCTGGTGAATTGCATGCTGTCTTTAATATATTTTAAATTTCTGAACAAAAATTGTACTTTTAACTGCTACCTTGTTTAGAAATAAATTTGAGATACACAGCTTAGTAGGAGGTATTTTTAGCTGTAGTGTTTAAGAGTACTGCTAATGTAATTTAAATTTGTTTTCTATTTTTTTAAATCCCCTTTACATTAGTGAAGAGAATGTGCTTCTATTTGAAAAGGATTTTCCTCAAGATAAATAGGGCAAGCACTATCTATAAAATGTTTTTAAATGCAGTATCCACTAGGTGGTGATATTGTACTACATTTCTGAGT